TGATCCTTTTTAATGATACGTTTCTTTCTCAACCGTTAACGTTCACCCAATGGTTTAAAATTGCTTGAAAGTGTAAATTGGCAAAACAAAAAACGTTCAATCTGTGTTAAACTGCAATTCGTTACAAACGTTCTCTCTTACACATTGCAGCTCTTGAAATGATCTTGCAGATCGTACATTCACACTGTTTTTGTTTTTGCTGTCTGTCAGGAATCTCAGCTTGTGGCTGGTGTTGCATTCAAGAAGACCTTCTCCTATGCTGGCTTTGAGATGCAGCCCAAGCGCTATGTGAACCCAAAGATCGCACTGCTCAACATTGAGCTGGAGTTGAAGGCAGAGAAGGACAATGCTGAGGTTCGGGTGAACTCTGTGGAGGTCAGTGCTGCTCTTCACCGTCACAGGTTTTTGAATGTACTTGTCAAGGATATTCCTTTTAATTTTTGAATAACGAAAGGATTGGGCCATGAGCAGCTCGGGGTCCAGAAGGATTGAAACAGCTACTGATGGTGTAGTTGTGATTTGAACCTGGAGTGATGTTTTGACTGAACTGGCAAAATCTGATTTCTGTAGCTTCTACAATTATTTTATTGAAGTGAAACTAGCGCTAAAGTCCACAATCCAATATTTTCTATAACAGAGTCTTATTTCAGTAAACCTTCAGGGCCCATGTAAACAAAGTTGAATCCCCTCATGTTTATGTGGCTGTTTGCAGGAATATCAGGCCATTGTTGATGCTGAATGGAACATTCTGTACGACAAGCTGGAGAAGATCTACAAATCTGGCGCCAAAGTGGTGCTGTCCAAGCTGCCCATCGGAGATGTGGCCACACAATACTTTGCAGACAGAGATCTGTTCTGTGCAGGCCGTGTTGTGGAGGAAGATCTCAAGAGAACGATGATGGTGTGTATTGACGTCATATGTGAGCAACCTGTCAGGCAGTTGTAAGTCTTCTTGTAGCTGTGCCAAAACAAATCTGAATTGAAATCTGAAACACATCCGTTGCTTTTATGGACTCTCTATTTATGGGTTTCTTCCTTGACTTTATGCCTTCATGTCCCCCCGATTACCTCATAGACAGTAAAAGATTGCCTGTGAGCTTCTCCTGTCTCCAAAAGGAATCTGAATCATTCCCTTCCAAATCTTGCAGAGACTGAGAGCATGAGGAGTTGTCCATGAACTAGCAGCAGATCAACTTTATGACTCTCTATGGGCATCTACCTGTACTTTATGCCTCCACGCCCCCCCCCCCCCCCCCCCCCCCCCTGATTGCCTGTGTGCTTCTCCTGTCTATACGGTAGTTTCTCTACTGTGCGACAGAGAGTGGTTATGACACAATCATTAGCCTATTTTTACAAAAACTGCTTCTACGGGGTCAAACCGTAAGACGCAAGATAATGGAGCCTTTTATACACTGTCGTGTTTCTTTAGAAATAAACAATAGACAAATAGAGTCTTTAAAACCTCAGATGTAAAGTTATTCGCTGTCAAAGTGATGCCAAAATGAATGGGAGTCAATTGAATGCTAACAGCAGGTGAAGGCTTGCTAAACAATGGCGACCCTCTTGCTTTTCACACCATATATTGAAGAATTAAAACAATTTATACCCAAATGTCAAAAAATTAACTTAAATCAATGAAAAGCATTAATAAAGCCCCAGTCTTACAGATCATTAACTAAAAAATGTTTGTTTTAGTTACCCTTTAAAGCAGTTGTATTGTGTCCTCCAGGCCTGTGGCGGCTCGATTCAGACCAGTGTTGGTGCCCTGACTGATGATGTGCTTGGACAGTGTGAGCTCTTTGAAGAAGTGCAGGTTGGAGGAGAAAGGTACGTCTTATTTCTTTTTTACGTTAATACAAGGCGTAATTATGTCCATAACATGAGGGATTTTAATTTGATAGATGATTTCACATTAACATTTTCCATGCTAACAATATGTATTCTATTGCAGATACAACGTCTTTAAAGGCTGCCCGAAAGCCAAGACCTGCACCTTCATCCTGAGGGGCGGCGCAGAGCAGTTCATGGAAGAGACGGAGCGCTCACTCCACGATGCCATCATGATTGTGCGCAGAGCGATCAAGGTGGGGAAAACCTGAGCATTTCTTGCTACAGATATTACAACTGCAGATTTGATCTTATCCTTGATTTCCTTTGGCTAGTTAGTAGGTCTTTTGGAGAAAGATGGCTGAAACATTATATTAAGATAATACTTCAAATTAATTACAATTAGACGTATTTTGTCTTATCGGCCGAATCAAAGCTATTTTTGCAATGCATGTTACAGGGTGAACCAATAGCTGTTCCCTCCTTCAAGAAGGCATTTGGCTCTTAATTGAAATGCAGTACTTCCATTCCTACAACCACTATATTGAGTTTCTCGCATTAATTTGTTTCCCTGGAGTGTATTTTAGATCCAGTTGATATGAATTGTAATTACATTGGAGCTGATAAGAGTTTATAGAAAGGATCAAATGCTCAATAATGTACTACTAAACATTTTACATCACTCTTTTTTTATGAAAATTGCCCTCAAATATTTATTTTAAAATTAGCATGAAGCTAGAATACACCTAACGTTATATATTGCATGTACAAATATTCTTACAACAAAATGCTGGTGACCATGAAATTGTGTAAAATGATAAAACATGCTGGTAGGGAATCATGTTGACTTTTCAGAATGTTTTAAGAACTTCCAGCAGGGGGAGACAAATTCAAATATATAAATATATATATTAACTGGCTCCTATTTCCCCATGACAGAATGACTCAATTGTTGCTGGAGGTGGCGCTATTGAGATGGAGCTTTCGAAGTATCTGCGGGATTATTCTAGAACAATTCCTGGGAAGCAGCAGCTGCTGATCGGAGCCTATGCCAAAGCCCTGGAGATTATTCCCAGACAGCTGTGTGACAATGCAGGCTTTGATGCTACCAATATCTTAAATAAACTGAGGGCCAAGCATGCACAGGTAGCTACACAAGTCATTCTTGATCATAATGTCATGTTTTAATGTAATGTCAATGTTGTAATGTACATTTGCATAATCTCCCTCTCCTCTAGGGTGGCATGTGGTATGGAGTGGACATAAATAATGAAGACATAGCGGATAACTACCAAGCTTGTGTATGGGAGCCCTCTGTTGTGCGTATCAATGCCCTGACCGCTGCCTCTGAGGCCGCGTGCCTCATCCTCTCGGTAGATGAGACCATCAAGAACCCTCGCTCCTCTGCTGACGCCCCGTCAGCATCTGCTGGCAGAGGAAGAGGTCGTGGTAGACCCCCACATGCCCACTAATCCACACCCATCCAGCCGTGTCTTGGGCAGAGCCTCTGGACTTTCAGAAGGTCAAAACAAATGCTGTCCACTTATAGGGCCTTGATTTGTTTCTTTGACCTGTATTGTTACTCCCTGGTCCCACTAAATCCATGCATTTCTGTGTTTACAAAGGCTAAAACAGAATAAAATGTCATTTTTGGTAATTGTTCTAGATCGATGGGGATTGAATCATCTGTCGGAGATTTGAATGTTGTTTTCCCATATTCTGAGAACACGCAAACCATACACGCACTCAGAAAAAGTGGTCCGTTTGTAGATCTGTATAAGCACTGATATAATGCAGGCTCTCTGCTTTGATACGTTCCTGTGTTGGTCATTCGGCGGAACTATTTATTGGTCCAATTAAAATCAGTACTTTTGATTCTCAACATTTGTGAGTTTTTCTTCTTTCAGTCATGAGTGAGAAGTGATTATACATCAGATAAGGGGAAACATTAAACGAAAAATAACTTTATTTTCAGTCTTTGTGATTAGTATACCAAAAGTTTCATTATTCAGACATTGTGTTGTGTGATTTACCCCTATAGCTTGATTTAACATCTTTGAAGTTTGTGGGGGGGAAAAATGATTCCTTTGTGTTACTTACGTCCTGATGGATGATGAAAAGCCAACAACATTGCTTTTACAAAAAAAAAAAAAGAGATTTCACATGTCATTGATAAATGTCACAATTAAAAGTTTATACCAGGCACATATAAAAGAAAAAAAGAAACTTGTATAAAGGGTTATACATTTAGACCTGGATTCATTTAAAGTCTTGAGAGGTAGTGTAACATTGACTTTAGCAATTTTAATTGTGCTGGAAGAACAACCTAAGGGGCCGTTCACATATCGCGCCTAAAAACGCGTAGAAAACGCTAGGCGCACGCGTTCTCCTTTTTCCAAAGAAGCGCTAGGGCGGTTGCACTCCGGAGGCGTCTGTCGTTGCTAAGCAACCATCAGCTGCGCTCTCCATTACATGAAGGAAATTTCAGCAATGGATTTCCACCACCGAAAAACCCTTGTAACTCTGTTACAAGATTTATTTACTCAGAAAAGTTAAAAAACGCCGCAGTGTTTGGGTGCACCCCATACAACAAAAACGCAAGAACCATGGGGAATTTCACCAGCTGATTCAGGAACTCCGCCTGGACAATGGGAGGTTCAAAGCCTATTTCAGAGTGGACAAGGACCAGTTTGATTATATTTTAAGAAGAGGTAACAAAAATGGCGAGGAAGCTGATTGGTTCGTGTCACGTGACCTACGGTGCGCTTGCGGCATTCTGAAAAGTTGAGATGTTTTTATCTCGATGCGGCGCGGACGCGCCTGGAAAAAACGAGCGCGTCGCACCGCGACCGCGTCGCTTCCATTATGAGCGCGCATACCGCGCGCCTACATTTGAAATAACGAACTTGAGCGCGCAAAAGACGCGATATGTGAACCGGCCCTAAAAGTCTTTTTTTTTTTTTAAATGCATTGAGCAAATGAGTAAAAGTATGAGGCAAGGCAGGCAATATAAATCACATTTGAAAATATAACTACTGGTTTTGTACCTAGGAAATCTGAAAACAAAATTTCTTACTAAAACTAAATGCTCACCCTTTTTTTTTTTTTGGAAAAAGGCTCATTTTACATATTTTTAAATATCAGAAAATCAGCTGAATACATTCGAAAACAGTAAAACTCAACTGTTTAACTCTGGGGGAATGGTAAAATGAGCCTATTTCCCCCAAAAAAGTGGAGTATCCCTTTAACTCCTTAACATCATTCCAAGTGATTACACTTCCTCTTCTTGCCTCCAGGTGGCGCAACCGTAACCTATAAACAAGATCTGTCTTGATAAGTGTAAAATGAATATTTTTTTAGCTATAGATTATATGTTTACAAAAATAAAATTAAGTGGCTGTATTTGATAAATCAATTTAAATACGAAGTGTCTACAAACTTGAAATAATATGTCTGTTTACTGCATGCATGACATGATAGTAAACACCACAAACAATAACAAAATTGGAACTACTTCCTCTGTTTGACAGGAAATGCATTTACGAAAGTTATGCCAAAAATGGAAGCTTGTTTTATATCTGTTTTATATCTGTTCCCATTATGTTTTACTCATTGAAGGTCTAATTAAGATAGTCTGTTGCTTTTGACATAATTGAGATTTTCATTACTCATAATTATCCAAAGCTTACAGTACACAAATAGACTGTACTCATAGCTGATGCTTTGCACAATAAAATCCCCAAAACATTCCAGTTTATCATTCAGCCCTTCAGTTTTTACATCTGCAACAGCAGTAGGATCAGTTAGACAGGAAATCAATTGATGCCTGCACCAGTCGGCCGGTTGCCACATCAACAGCTGTGACTTTGATCTCAGTGTCTCCAAACTGCATGGTAGTGCGAATCTCCCTGCGTTCAAAGGCAGACCGTTTATCGTTTTCACCAGCATTAGCTGCCGCTGCCCCCAACTCAAGCAGGTCTAGCGTGATGACACCACACTTCCTCACCCCGAGGTCAGTGATGTAGGTTATTTCATCAGTGTCGCTGCAGTAGATGTTGATTATGATCTTCCTTTGTCCTATTCTTGCTGGAGTGTAGCTCCGCCTCACCACCTCACCCAAAGCCACCGATTGATCAACACTAACAAAGCGGTCCATGATGTCAGTGCACCATTCTCGGCCATCTTTGATGAGTAGCTTGTCTCGAGGGTGTCGACCTTCCACAAAGCGGTTCAAAACTCCAACACCGTAAGTTAACGGGCAACGGCGTACACGGACAACAGTGGGGTCTAGTCCAAACAGGACTGCACCCTTCAGGATGGTCAGACCTACGTCATGTGGAATTATGATACGGCAGTTCCGCCCTAGTGCGTTCTGGGCTGCGCGTTGAAGCATGGGCGACTCTGCGAATCCTCCAACCAAGAAGAGAAAACGCACACCCTTTACTTCTTCCTTCTGCATCAGGCTCTCTGGTAGGATGAGATAAATCAATAAGATATCAGAGAGTTAAATACCGATCTCTGGCTTAAAGGAGAACTCCGGCGAACAGTGAACCTTTGGTCTAATAAAACATCGGTACATAGTCAACCGTTCTCTGAGATTTGTTTTCATGATAATCGAATGTAAAGAGTTTTATCTCTAAAAACTGTTTAGCGTATAATGCTAGTAATGGGGGCATTGACTAAGTAAAAAGAAATCGCTGGTTTATACCACTAACAAGGCTCAAAATAGCCCCACACTAACACAGTAACATAATGAGGCTCCATACATGCAAAACGAAGCATTGAGAACTTTGTAAGTGTACAGACCGTTTAATAAGAAGATACTTTATGAAGACAGTTCACTTCGCGTAAACAGGCAGGAGCCATCTTAAAAAATGGTCTCGATAAGTCGATCCCCGATCCTGTCTGTATACGCGAAGTGAACTGTCTTCATAAAGTATCTTCTTATTAAACGGTCTGTACACTTACAAAGTTCTCAATGCTTCGTTTTGCATGTATGGACCCTCATTATGTTACTGCGTGAGTGTGAGGCTATTTTGAGCCTTGTTAGTGGTATAAACTAGCGTTCTCTTACGAGAGGTTCTCTCGTATTGCGTAAGCTAGCTTACGCTACGGGAAAGATTCATCTTTGCTGAGAAGTTGAAGCCAAAAAATTATTCCATAATTTTGTAATCATTGTCAACGCAGTCTCTTCTGAGGCAGACCATGAGCGGGCTAGCTAGCGGCTCATTGGTTCGCTCAGAGAGAATGCACGAACCTATGGGAGAGCGGCGCTGAGTCCGCGGCCAATGAGCGGACGGCGCTCGCTTACTGCGTCACAGCCCGCCAAAAGGGGCGTGGCTACAGTGTATAAAGGTCGCTCTCCCAGCTCGTTCGTTGATTCTGTTCATTTCAGCGAGCTACACGCATCCGCTGTTCTGGGAAGAAGCCGCCGTCGTTGAGAAGGCACCGTCTAGCGAGCTCCGGAGTCTGAGGAAGCCGGCCGTCTGCCACCTTCAGCCGCCCAGCAAGCTAGCGCCATCCGACGCGTATCCTTTTTTCTTATTATTCCTAAAAGAGCACGAGCGTCTTTTTAAAGATGCCTCGTAATTCCTGCGGCTCTTGCCGCCTCCGCTCGAGGATGGAGAGACCGCCACCCCATCTGCGCTCTTGCCTCGGAGTGGAACACGCAGAACTCGCCCTCGCCAACGGAGGATGCGACCACTGCGAGGACCTGCCGCTGTCAACCCTGCGGGCTCGACTACAGGCGGTCAAACCGCTCCAGCGCCGCCTCTTACTTCGCCGCGGAAGAAGAAACGCCGCTCCCAGAGGCCGCCGGGAGCCCTCTGCGGATCCATGTGGGCCGCCGCCGCCGCCACCGACCGCTCTCCCTCTCCGCCCCTGCCGGACTTACAGTTGCGCCGAGTGGCCGCTCTGTCGCCTCCGAGGACACCGCGGATGAGAAGGACTCTTGTTCGCTGCACGCTTCGGACAGCGAGGATTGGTCGTCGATTGGCTCATCGACGAGAGAGTCTGCGGGGACCCCGCGCCGGCATCGAGGAGGAACTAACGCGCCTCCTTTCTCAGGCCGTTAGCCGCCTGGGTCTCGAGTGGTCTCCTCCCCCTGAGCAACCACCGAACCGCATGGATGGAAAGTTCCTGCACCGGCGTCCGGCCCCGCCTGCAGCCGGGCTGCACCCTTCCTGCCGGAGCTTCACAGCGAGCTTCACGAAGTCCTGGAATGCTCCTCTCTCGGCCCGTAATCGCTCTGATGTGTCCGCTTCGCTGCCGCTCAGTGGACGGAGCTGCGAGAAGGGTTATACTGCCATGCCACCCGTCGAGGACTCGGTCGCCGCTCATCTCTGCCCGCCCTCTGCTAGATGGCGGTCTGCTCATACGCTTCCCTCTAAAGCGTGCAGAGCGACCTCTAACTTTCATGCCCGCGCCTATTCTGCCGCCGGTCAGGCCGCTTCAGCGCTGCATTCGATGTCTGTCCTCCAGGTGCTCCAGAGCGACATCTTGTGTGAAATGGCGAGCAGCGGGAGGCAACCGCCCGTCCTTTCGGATCTGAGAAGCGCTACGGATCTTTCCCTTCGCGCCACTAAAGCCGCCGCACAAGCTCTTGGGAGGATGCATGGCCGCCCTCTGTGTCGCCGAGAGACACTTTTGGCTCACGCTTACCGACAATGGGAGAGTCAGAACGAGCCGCGTTCCTCAACGCGCCCATTTCCCCTACCGGGCTCTTCGGATCCGCCGTCACGGGCATCGTTGACCGCTTCTCCGAGGTTCAAAAAGCCGACTCAGGCCATGAACTTGTTCCTGCCCCGCCGCTCGAGTTCTTCGACGGGCCGTTCTCACGAGCCGCTGCCAGAACCACACAGCAGCGCCCGCCTCAGCAAGCTCAGCAGCCCCAGCGTAGACAGGGCGGCCGCCCTCGCTCTCGCTCAGACAGCCGCCGCAGACAGCCTCCTCCCCGGGGCCTCGACCCAAGATCACGCTGAAGCCTGATCAACAGAAGTCTGCCTAGCACAGCTGAGAAAAAGACGGCGTTCTCCCGCTGCGGCCGGACCACCGTCAAAGCTTCGCCCTCTGTTAGTCCCCGTCTCACCGCTGACTACAGTAGTGTTTACCGCCACAAACAAGCCGGTTTCCCTGCCCGCTTGCGAGCGACTAAAAGCCGTTTTCACGGCTACCCAGAGAGTTCACAAAAAGAGCATAAAAGCCTCAAGTGTAAAAAATGTGCCACAACCATGTGCTCACGTACACACACAAGCACTTTATGCCCAGGGTCTCTCGCAGAGCCCATTCTCACGGAGCGTGGCACTTTCCGCTCCAGCAGCAGAGAACATAAGCACGCCCACGAGCCCGTGCGCGTGTCCCCCCTGCCCGCTCTGTCTCAAGGCCCTTAAACTCCTCTCTGAGTGTAAGTCCCGTTGCCTTCCACATTATAAGCGAGCCCACACCCAGTGTCCCAGCCCGCAATGTGCAGCAATCAGGGCGAAAATCGCCATTCAACCACTAGCCGTATGCTACACAAGCGTGGGAAGCCATCCCCTGCATCTCCCGTGGGTTTTAAGCATAATAAAGAATGGTTATCGATTACAGTTTCGTCGCCGCCCGCCACGCTCGCGCGTGCGGCTCGAATCCACTGTCAGCCCCGGCTGCTATGAACACGCTTCGCTTAGAAATAGCCAAGCTACTGCAGAAGGGCGCTATAGAGAGAGTCCCGCCATCTATGACCGAGTCGGGGTTTACGGCCGTTACTTTCTGGTTCCAAGAAAGACGGCGGCCTCCAGGCCCGATCTTAGATCTCAGGGCTTTGAACAAAGCGCTCATGAAGAAGACCGTTCAAAATGCTCACAGTCAGGAAACTCCTCGCGCACGTCCGCCAGGGGGGACTGGTTCATCTCTCTAGACCTGAAAGACGCCTATTTTCAGATCCAGATAAACCCTCATCACAGGCCATTCCTACGTTTCGCCTTCGAGGGCCAAGTTTACCAGTATGCCGTTCTCCCGTTCGGCCTATCCTTAGCACCCCGTACGTTCACGAAGTGCATGGATACAGCGCTCGCTCCCCTGCGAAGTCAGGGCTGCGCATACTGAATTATCTGGACGACTGGCTGATTCTAGCAGATTCCCAGACGGAAGCTGCTGTCGCACCGCACAGTTCTCCTCAACCATCTGGAAGCGCTGGGACTCTCTGTCAACTGGACAAAGAGCTCTCTCCAGCCCAGTCAAACTATTTCGTTCCTCGGAATAGATTTGAACTCTATCACGATGACGGCTCGCTTATCCACACCAGCGCGCGCGCCGTTGTTCAGCGCCTAGCCGCCTCGTTTCAGATGGTACCCTTACATCCCTGAAATCGCTTCAGAGGATGCTGGGTCATATGGCTTCAGCCTCCGCTGTGCTACAGCTGGGTCTTCTGCACATGCGCCCCCTTCAATTCTGGTTAAAGAGCCGCGTATCCCACCGCGAGTGACGACGGGCCGCCAGATGATCAGGATTACTCAGACTTGTATCACTGCACTGCAGCCATGGGCAGCAAGCGAGTGGTTTCAGAGGGGCGTTACCATGGGAACATTCTCCTCGCCGGAAAGTCATCTCGACAGACGCATCCAACTCGGGTTGGGGAGCGGTTTGCGAGGGCTCACCGGCCGCCGGCCAGTGGTCGAGCCACGAGAGTTCCTTACACATAAACTGTCTGGAAATGATCGCGGTCGAGAACGCGCTGCTGTGCTTCCTCCCGCGCATAAACGGTCACCACGTCCTGATTCGCTCCGACAATATGGCCGTGGTATCATACATCAACCGTCAGGGCGGCGTCAGATCCAAGAATCTCTTTCATCTGACACGCCGCATCCTATTGTGGTCCCAGAGTCACCTGCTATCGCTCAGAGCGACGCACGTGCCGGGCCATCTGAACGACGGTCCAGACAGGCTGTCCAGGAACCTGGTCTCCCCCGGAGAATGGTCCCTGCACACTCAAACAGTCCAAACACTGTGGCGCCTATTCGGCAGAGCGGAGATAGATCTTTTCGCGTCAGAAGAGAACGCTCACTGCCCAATATTCTTTTCAAAGAGCGAGGACGCGCTAGCCCAGGATTGGCCCCGCCGCCCGCTCTATGCTTTTCCCCCGATTTCTCTGCTACCGCAGGTCATTCAGAGAATCAGGGACTCACGCCACTCGGTGCTCCTCATAGCCCCGCGCTGGGAGAATCAGATTTGGTTCCCGAGCTAACGCGGCTGTCACAGACAGCCCCGTGGCCCATTCCAATCAGAGCAGATCTCCTCACTCAAGCCCGCGGCTCGATCTGGCATCCCCATCCACAGCGCTGGGCGCTTCATGCATGGGTGACCAACGACTACGCGTCGAATTGCCAGAAGGGGTTTTGAACACGATCAAACACGCCAGAGCGGATTCTACCAGAAAGCTCTATGCTGCAAAATGGTCTGTGTTCTCCAAATGGTGCACCGACAAGAATTTGGACCCACGGACGTGCGAGGTTTCGTCTTTGCTAGTGTTCCTTCAGGAGATGCTGGATAAGGGCAGGTCCCCATCCACTCTTAAGGTTTACGTGGCAGCCGTCGCGGCGTTCGCTGAACCCCGGCGCGCCCAGTCTCTGGGCAAAGACGAGCTAATCATCCGCTTCCTCAGGGGAGCCAGAAGGATGAACCCCCTCGCCCCCCTACGGTGCCGGTCTGGGATCTTTCTATAGTTCTAGAAGCTCTGAAAGCCCCACCGTTTGAACCACTTGAGTCCGTGGAGCTAAAATACTCTCGTTAAAAACCGTTCTTCTGACGGCTCTCGCCTCAGAAAACGTGTGGGGGGCATTCACGCGCTGTCTCGAGCGCCGCGTGCCTAGATTTGGACCCGAGTGACTCCATAGTCATTCTAAAGCCTAGACACGGTTATGTTCCAAAAGCGATTGGTACCCCTTTCAGGGCGCAAGTGATCTCTCTATCGGCGCTGCCTGCATCCGATAGCGAACGTGACGCTGACCGCCTCTGCCCGGTTCGGGCTATCAGAGTGTACACTACACGCG